TGATTACTGTAGGATTCATTTGGGTTAAGATACATTCTGAGTAAGAATAATGCAAGTGCAGAAAGCTCTCATGCTTTGTTTTGCTTTTTGCTTTTTTTTTTTTTTTTGAAGGTGTTTTTCTGTGAAATGTTAAATTCTTACTTTAGGGAATGTGTCTTTTATGTGGATGAAGTCACAGTCAGCTGTACCTGAGTGAAACACTATCAAAGTCTCTGCTGAAGATTTATTACTTGTGTTTTACCTTTATGCTGGTGATGAGGTTGTGGGGGATGGGGGGGGAACCACCAAAGCCCCCAAAAAACCACTTTTATATACGAATTCTGTTAAATTCTTCATTTAACATTAATGATAGAAAATATTTTGATTTCTTAAGATTTTATTATGATTTCCAAAGTACTGGTAAAGTGTAACTTCTGAAGACTTTGTCTGTCTTTATCATTTTCAGGATACACAATGGTCTGCTTATTGAAATTCTTCTGATATCTCAGATTGTAAGCACCTCTGAACATACTCACTGATCTTTCTAAAGAAATATGTATGTCTGTATGCAACTGCATTGACCACATATGTTTTTCAGACCTCACCGATTATTCATGGTCCATGGTGATAGCTAATACAGAGTATTTCAGTGAATGAGCAGAAGTCATGAGTATTTAACCACAGACACTGTTTGGGTTGTCTATATTTTTGTTTTGTCTATTTTTTGTACTCTTTATTAGTACTAAGAAATAAAAACACAAGTACTTATTCTATCTAGCAGAAAACACTATAGTATGTATTTTTCATCTCTCCTACTATAACATTTGAAGGGAAAAAAAAAAAAAGACTATTCCAATTTAGTAGGTGTCCATTATTATTTCAGGCAGACTTAAGAGTTACTGACATTATTAAAGTAGAGAGATTATATCTGTACTTTGATTTTTCACCAATGGCAGCTCCGATGCTTTTTTCCTGGTAGGGGTTTCTACTGAGGACTACTGTGCAGGTGTAGTGTACTTCATATTCCCACATGTGCTCTCCCTTTCTGTTTTATTGTGCTATGGTGCCAGGCATGGTGCTAATGTGTGCTCTCCATACTTAGTGCAGGAGGGAGATAAGCCTTCAGAAAAATTTTGCCAATGGTTATAAATTTCTGGTGGATGTAGACCCCAAGGTTAGTGCTGTACCTGTTTGACGTTGTGTATTTGCTGTTCAAAATTAAGTAAGAAGACTGATGTTATGACTGATGTATTTATGCAGACTTCTGCTTTGTTGGTATATTCTAGTTTTGATAATGCCCTTTGCAAGAACAGGAAAATATAACTAGCATGGTTTAAATTTTTGCTTGAGGCTAACACTGCATATTGAATTTTTGTCCCAGCTTCTTAGTTGTTCTTTGCCATAGTCAACTTCTGTGTCTCTGCTATGTTCCTAATGTTCGTTCCTAGCTGTGCTTCAGCATAACTGCATTGTTACTGTACTTTTTTTGTCATCACAATATGTCCTTATTTATGCATGTCTCTATTAAATGACTAAAATTATAGAACAACATAATACAGCCACACTAGTATTTTTTAAGTCCTTATGAAAAGTCATCATACTATCTGGCATTTTTCATTTGCATGTATTAATCTCCAGCACATTCTGGCATCCTCTGTTGACATAGGCAACTGCTTAAAAACATATTATTTATTTATTTATTTATTTGTCTATTTATTTATTGAATTTTATTGGTCTTTATTTGCACTCTTGTTTTCTTTCACGTATATCTGTGTTCAGGAACATCAGCCAAATAGTATGTTTTTTATCAGGTATTGCAGTATGTGTGCAGAAGAATTAATGGAACTGTACACTAATCCATCTGCAGAATAGGACCAGGGAAAAGGACTTAAACTCTTCAGGAAGAAGCCACAGTATAGTACTCATTCTAAGCAATCCAGCAGAAGGGATCTTACTATATATTTTACATGATTTTATAAGCAATTTCGGAGAGATCATTGTAATAATTTTCAGACAATTTTGAAAAAGTAGAAATTAACATTAGTAAATGTGTATTTTTATGATAAATTGGGACAAATTTTCTTGCCTACGATTGTTACATTTTATTTGGTTTTGCGGACTTTGCTTAACCTAGTAGATCCCTTTCAAAACACTTCTTACCATTTATTTGATTATAAAAATAGATGATGTGGTTATGCAAAAATCTCCTATCATTGAGAGTATTTATTGGGTTGTTTTTTGCCTTTACTCTAAATCTAAGGTATATTATGTTATCCATATTTGAATAGAATATTTTTTTTCTCATACATGAGAACATAGGAAAGTTATTTTGGGTAGAGACTAAAGTTTTTTGAGAAGTATTAGAAAATAATTAGATAAACTAAAAACAAGACTGATAAATTACTGTAAAAGCTATTTAGTTTTACAGGTCTTTGTGCTTATTTTGATTACCTTTTTTTTAAGCATTAATTAGCACTCATATCTGTGCTTTGGAATGTATGGAATTAATTATAGTGAAAAATATAGTGAATTATAAAGTGAATTGTGGTATTTGGGATGAGTATTGAACTGATAAAGTTTTCCTTTGTTATCAAATCCAAAATAGCACTGCAAATTTTATAGTTCTGTAAAAATACTTCTAGTGACTTTAATGAGTATTACAAATAATTTAACTCTTCACAGGAATCCCGTTGACCATACTGCACAGAAGCAATAACTAGTACATATTTGTTTTTCAGAGAGTGAAGCATTACTATTTGAATTTTTTTTTTTTTTCCTCTTTTTCATATATGCTTCTAATAACTTATTACTGGAAACAGAAAATTGAGCTAGCTGAATAATCTCCCAGTGAATGTGTCGTTACAGCTATAGGTCAATGTAATTTCACAGAAAGACAGTTTGCATTGTGCAAGGAGAAGGTACTAGGAAAGAATTTGTCTCCTTATTGTGGGTTTGTAATATTTAATAAGGAAGGGGAAAGATAATATTTTTCTCAAAATACCTGTTCTCTAGAATCATAGAATCATAGAATGGTTTGGGTTGAAAGGGACCTTAAAGATCATTTAGTTTCAACCCCCCTACCACGAGCAGGGACACCTTCCACTACACCAAGTTGCTCTAGTCTACTACGACTTTGTATTGTATAGAGCTACCTTAGTGCTTCAGGAGAGCAGCTTTTAATGAATCACAGTATTTGGTACTGTATCTGTGATTCATAGTCACAGGTTGTTTCAGCATATGTCTTCTCACATTTCTAAATGTGACTTCTTAGGTAAATACTTGTAATCAAGATAAAATCAGAAATAAAGTTGCTGAAGTATATAGACATTTTAGGTAGGAATAATGTAGATTTGCCATTGTATTACATACTTGATGTTTTAAAAAAGAAGCAAATAATCCATAGGTAAATAATACGGTAATTAACTATGTAATATAAAGTACTTGTTTTATAAAACAAAGTCTTTTGTATATGAGAAATTAGAAAACTATTTAAAGTTTTATTGTAAAGAATTTTAATTTTAATTATCCCAAGAATTCCCTCCAAAAGGCATAACATTCAGTGCTGTAGCATGTTTGCTAGTAACTTCATAACTTTTCTCTTTCCTTTTTTAAAGGTATAATGAAAATTGAATTTTCAGCATTAGAAATTACATAAAAGATAACTAAGTGGTCTTAGTTACTAATTTTTACCAATCCAGAGGATTTTAGGTTTGTTATTGCATTAGAATTCCGTAACTTTAATTTGTATACTTATGCTGTGAGGTTTTCACAGGAAACAAAATTCAGTGTTCTTTGATTCTGACATGGAATCAGAATACTTCTCTTTCCATAGAAATTATGATATACAGAATGCTTTATATGACTGCTTTATGTCAAATATTTTAAGAGCTAAATTGTGTGCATTTTTCCTGTATTCAGTGAAAAAACAATTGTACAGCATTAAAAGTTCAGTCACTTAAATATCAGCTGCCACTTGGTGAGTAATTACTGTAGAAAGCAGTAAACTTGAGTGTATGTATTTATAGGATTGGCCATTAAAGTGTGTTTCAAGTTTAAAAGTGATACAGTGAAATAGTTACTGATTTTCCTTTCCTTTTCCACCTTCCTCAATAATAAAGGTAAGTGAATATCAGTATTTCTTATCAACCTTTTTTTTCCTGAAACAAAAAAAGTGAAACAAAGTAGTAAAGCAAGTTTCCCAAAGATACAAAGCAAGTAAAGAGCAGAACTAGATTAAAAATAAATTATTTTTCCTCAAGTGTACTACTCCATGAAGGTTGAAGTGTCAGAGGATTCTTTTTAATTGTTTCGTTTAGCTTTCCCTAATGTTTTTATACTCTTGAAATTCAAATAGTTTTTGGGGATGTGGAAGTGTTATGGATAAAGATTTTTATGAAGTTACTAAACATAAAATTTATCTACTAGAAAATCAGAAGCATTCATTTTTCTCCCTTGACTTTTTCCATGCAATGATACAGGAATTAAATCCAAAAATTCTGGTTGCGTTTATGGATCATGTTTTTTAATAATTGTGAGCTTCTGACAAGAAAATGGGAAAAAATGAAAATAAATATATGACTGAATTTGTGTTTTGATCATTGTTTGAGGGGATATTTCTCTTCAGTTTCATAGTTACATATTTAAGGAGAAGATAATGCTAACTGTAATCTAAGATACTATGATTTTACATATATGCATTTTCATTAACTGCAGCATCATAATAAAATGAGTGAGATCATAAACAGGTTTTGAGTATGCAGTTCACTATTTGAGTCATAAGTGGGTACATTTTGTGGTTTACCTTGACAGTGTTCCTTTAAGCATGTACTTATTCCCTTTATTCTAGTGCTTAGAAACAGAACATCTTTTTCATATTTTTCTATTTATTTGAAAAATTTAGAAGTTGCTTAGCTGTCAGAGATGCTTTCAGTCATACTTATCAATGGTGTTTAATATATAAAACATACATAAATATACATATATATATAAACCCTTTCTTTTTCCTGAATCAATGTAAACAGAGCCCAGATGGCCGTATAGAAGTCAAAGGGCAGCATGGAAAATCGTCACTGCATATTAAAGATGTGAAGTTGTCAGATTCAGGGAGATATGACTGTGAAGCTGCAAGTAGAATTGGTGGGCACCAAAAGAGCATGTACCTTGATATTGAATGTAAGTTCTAATATTTTGTTTTCTCTTTTCAATTTGTTTTAAAATAAAAAAAAGTACATTCTTAATGGAAGATCAATTTTTCTTGGTAATTCATGTTTAAACTTGCATCATTTAAGAAAGCATGTCCTTCTGTATTTAGTGATAAGGAATTTTGTGGAGGAATCCTACCTTTCTGAAGTTTTCAAGACCCTTTTCAGTGATTTAAGGAGCACAAGGTTTCATTTGAAATCATATTCCAGTGGTATTACCCACTAACTTAAGGCTAAGCTTAATAATTTCAAATCTTTGGGCGAGTGGAGGCTGCTGTGTGTGAAGAATATTCAGTGGGATAAGGTAAAGAGTGATTTGAGCAACAGCTCAATCTTGAGTTTAACCTCCTAAGATTCAATGGTCTTCTTTTTTTTTTTTCCTTTTCTCTGATTACAAATCTCCAACAAGTCTCTAGCCATTGTTATTACCCCTCCTAGAGTTCACAAGTTTGTGGCAATCTCTTTTAGAGATTGTCTTTTTTCAAAGTTCTTGAATTTTACCCAGGAGAAAAGGAGATTATTTTTGCTTAGAAAAGAGTCTAATGCTTTAGAAGCCAATCACAGGATATAAATTTGAAATATACAAAAATTCATTAGAAAATTATTCTTCAAACTGTTCTTCAAATTCATGAAGTTCTTAAAAAATGAAAAAAGCAAAAAAAAAATCCTTATTTTATATTTCAGCATTGTAATATCTTGCTAGAGATTTGCTAGATACATTTGTTATACGTTTGCAATATAGCTTCAGTGAGCCTGTTTCAGATTGAGACCCTGAACAGAAAAAGTCTTTCCAGTTAGAAGATAGAAGTTGACATAGAATCAGTGGCACAGAAAGATAAGTAATAGTTGCAGATCTCTGAGTGATTTCCTGACGGCTTCTGAAAGCGACTTCATTGTACAGTTGTGTGGTCCATCTTTTTGGCAGGCAAGCAATGCATTATGACATAGGAAATAAATCTGAAGAAAATGAGAAATGGTCAAAGTTATAATTGTATGTTTGGAATTGAGAGATTTGCCAACCCGGAAGACCTGAGAAATAAAAACAGTTTTCATTAATAACTTTAACATAGCTACTCTTCAATAAATAGACATATGAAAGGATTTGAAACTGCAAAATATTATTACTATTTTGGGAACATATTAATTTATTATATGTGTTTCTTTAATGAGTGCACTGGTGCAGTGATAATTATTCATTTTATATGTATATAAAGGAAAAAAATATTTAGCTACATAAAAATGCAAGTTCGGTGAATTTCCTGTAAAATTTCTGTGAAATCTTGTCCTAATCAACACATAGTGATATGAAACATATTGTTTTATTAAGGTTACGTAGCCATTATGCTTTAAAATTAAATACAAATAACTTTTGTATTCAGAACAGAGAAGAGAGATATGATGCACCACATTTTATAAAACATGAGCAACTGAAATTTAAGAATTTATCAGCAGCACAGCATTCATACTAAAGGGCATAACAAAATTTCTGGATTGATACAATACCTTATGATAGGCTAAGACACCTTTCAGGGCAAAAGTTTTAGAACAGATGCTAAGTATTTAAAAGTAATATATTCTCATTATGGTATGGCAGACTTAATTTTGAATATGTGTGGGAACAATCAAATACAGTGTATGAGAAAATGGAACAGCATATTATTTTAAGTCTGAATTTATGCCTTGGTAGGCACACTTTTTGATACAACATAAAACTTTCTACAGTTCAGAAATCTTGTGAGAAAACACAATTTTTAAAATAACATAGAAATATTATTCTAACATCAGAGATATCAGACATTTTAATTATTATTTTTAATGTATAACACAAGATTTTTATTTGATCTAGCATAAAATTATGACATTTCTAAAACTGGAGTTTTCAGTTTTAAACATTTTAACTGATAATTAGGTTTAAACCAAATATATTTTTTTCCACTACAGATGTTCTTTGAATAGCAAAAGTACAACTTTCCCCATATCTTTAATGCGTCATGTATTTTTATAAAGCAAAGCAAATATTTTGGGAGTGATACAATATAGGTTTGTTTCCATTCATATTCTGATTAACAAGTCAGAGAATTTTTTTGCTGCCTTGGAAATAACTTTGCACTGTTATATGAACTACAAGTATAGCTTATTTGTCTTAATAATTCTACTATAAACCTCAATAACTATTTTAAAATTAAAATACAAATAAATAAGCAAGACTTAATTGTTTATATTGTTCCATAGATCCTAGATACAACTAATTAATGCACCTTTGCCATTCTGTATGTTAATAATGAAACTACAGCAATTTTCTCCATGTGTTTTAATACATTTGACAGTTTGTGTAGTCAGGAGAGGAGCATGCTTCCATCACATCCTTAAATGTCAGTGCAGTTAAACAGACCTAATGGAGACACAGAGAGTTCTGGTGTCACTATCTCATCCTTTTACTGACACCTATCAGAGACTTAAACTGGCAGTATGATTGCACAGAGTTTCTGTACTTTATCCTTGTTCTCTGTTGAGGTTGCTCTTGATGAGCAGTTCTTCAGGACAGGAAGAGATTATCAGATTTGATATCAATTTAGCACGATTAACCCTGCCATTTATCTGAAGTAAATTCTAAGCAGACATGAATTGTAGGAAACCCAGAGACATTTAAAAGGATTCCTTCCTACAAAGTCATCTTTGTGTTTAGTTATGTTTAGTTTCCCTTATACTAAGTATGAAAAAATAAAACAAAATTACATAAAAAGGAAAGATACCATTATAAATGTTATATACTAATGGATGTCATTAACTGCAAAATTTATCATAGAATCATACAATGGTTTGGGTTGGAAGGGACCTTAAAGATCATCTAGTTCTAACCCCCCTGCCATCAGCAGGGGCACCTTCCACTAGACCAGGTTGCTCAAAGCCTCATCCAGCCTGGCCTTAAACACTTCCAGGGAGGGGGCATCCACAACTTCCTTGGGCAACCTGTTCCAGTGTCTGACCACCCTCACAGTGAAGAACTTCTTCCTAATATCTAATCTAAACCTCCCCTCTTTTAGCTTAAAGCCATTTCCCCTTGTTTTGTCATTAACTGCCCTATGAAAAGTCCTTCCCCAGCTTTCTTGTAGGCCCCCTTCAGGTATTGGAATGTGTAGTGTGTATTGGATAATAATAATAATAGAAGTAACTGATCAAAAAGTTCCAGTGTGTTGGCATATATGGTATATACTAGGCATTGGGTATTAAGATGTATCTATAGTGATCTTCTATATATTTATCATAGACAGAGAAATAGCTATTTATTTCTTTAATAAAAACCATGATAGAAATACATACAAAATAGAAAAAGCAGGAGATACTCTAAGGTGAGCTTTTCAGAAGGACCTGAGGAAGTTAAATGTGCAAATCTTAGTGAATTACAACTTGATTTGTACATATTGTACTTTCAGTGCCTTTCAAAGTTGCAATTTTCCTTTGCAGATGTTTACATTTCTATATGGTATTTTTTGTCTTTTTAGCTGAGACGTAGTTATTCTGAAAAATATATGCTAGAGTTATAAAGGAATCTAAAAATTATAATAGAGACCTGACAAAAAGAAGAAAAATTCTGATGAAAGAATACATTATTTCTTGAGTTCCACAAATTATTCACTGCAACTGGCCTCCTCTGGTATTGTTCTAACGGGTCCATGTCTTTCTTGTGTTGGGGGCTCCAGAACTGGACAGAGTACTTCAGGTAGGGCCTCAAAAGACCAGAGCAGAGGGGGACAATCACTTCCCTCCACCTGCTTGCTGTGATTCTTTTGATGCAGCCCAGGACACAGTTGGCCTTCTGGGCTGCAAGTGCATATTGCCAGCTGATGTTGAGCTTCTTGTCCACCACCACCCCAAGTCCTTCTCTTCAAAGCTGGTCTCAGTCGCCCAGCCTGTATTTATGTTTGGGATTGCCCCGACCCAGGTGCAGGACCTTGCATTTGGCCTTGTTGAACTTCATGAACTTAGCATCGGCCCACCTCTCAAGCCTGTCAAGGTCCCTCCGGATGGCATCCCATCGCTCCAGCATGTCAACCACACCACACAGCTTGGTGTCATCAGCAAACTTGCTGAGGGTGCACTCAATCCCACAGTCCATGTCTCCGACAAAAATGTTGAACAGTACTGGCCCCAATACCGACACTTCGGGGGACACTACTAGTCACCGGTCTCCATTCAAACATTGAGCTGTTAACCACAATTGTTTGAGTGTGACCATCCAATCAGTTCCTTATCCACCGAGTGGTCCATCCATCTTGTCCATGCCTCTCCAGCTTAGAGACAAGGATGTCATGTGGGACAGTGTCAAACGCCTTGCACAAGTCCAGGTAGATGACATCAGTTGCCTTAGCCTTATTGACCAATGTTGTAACCCCATCATAAAAGGCTACCAGATTGGTCAGGCATGATTTGCCCTTGGTGAAGCCATGCTGGTTGTCACCAATCACCT